CTGTGACTTGACTTGCCTCATGAAGATCAGCTGTGACTTGACTTGCCTCATGACGATCAGCTGTGACTAGACTTGACTCAGGAAGATCAGCTGTGACTTGACTTGATTCACGAAGATCAACTGTGACTTGACTAGACTCATGAAGATCAACTGTGACTTGACTTGATTCAGGAAGATCAGCTGTGATATAACGGGGCGCTGTTGTGTCCGCCATTTTGCGAGCGGATGCGGTGTCGCGTTCATCCGCGACACCCACAGTATATGATGAACCAACAGTCAACAAAGCATAATCCATAAACTGAACGAGTGACGAACGCGGACCCTCTCGAATGAGCTTTGACTTTACTGGCTGATTAATGCCCTCGCAGAAAAAGTCTATCAGGACACAGTCTGGCAGATCAGAGAAATAAGATAGATCTAAATACTCTTGTACATAGTCCTCGAGCGTTCGCGTGCCCTGCTCGAGGGCTAATAATAGTCTTGCCATATCCATACCTGGCCAATGTCCGTGTGAAAAGCTGCTGGATCCTTGTAGTACGGAGTAACCAGAACATGAGACGTGCGGATCCATGTGCAAAGCTTTTATTAAAAGACGTGGTCACAAACACAGGCAGGGTCGAAACACCAGCGAACAGGTATGGTACGGGCAAAACACAAGAGCAGTCCAGTAAACAGGCGTGGGTCGATCAATGGTGAACAATATCCAACAGGGCTAGGCAAAGAGAGATAATGCAGGTACATAGCAATAATCCAGGCAGGGGCAAACAGAGTCCGAAACAGCAAGACAAAAATGGTAATCTGAAAACACAGGCAAGAATCTGAACACAGGAAAACACGCAAGGCGAGACTATGACTAAACTAGCAAAACTGGAACTGGCTCCGTAAAGTGCTATCACTTTAATAAACAGTACTGTCTGGAGAGTAATAAACGCAGACAATACTTGGCGACTTGAGTAGGATCTGGGTAGATGTTATATAGTGTGTGTAATAGCTTTCAGGTGAGCATGTGATTGGTTACAGCTGTGTGCAATCAGTGCAATGGATGATGGGAAATGTAGTCCAGGGTATAGTGTAACAGTATGCAGTGTGAGAGTCCATGTAGTGAGCGGGTGACCTCTGGTGGTGAGTGAACAGAAGTTCATAGACCGGATTCGTGACATGAATAGAGCATATATACAATGTAATCAGCTATTGCCTGATGCAGTAAACACTGCTTTTCAATATAACTTCAAGACTACCATATCAACCAATATAATATAAACAAAAAGTAGGCTACTACGTGCACCTTTAAATACAGTTTTAAAAAATACATATACATATACTGGTCACAAAACACTATACAAAACTTCTCTGATCAGACATATTCTTCCACTGACCAAGCTATTGTGTCCACAGGGGGAGAAGGGAAAGAAGGGCAAAAAGGGGCCTAAGGGGGAGAAAGGAGAACAGGGTGCCCCTGGATTAGATGCACCCTGCCCACTGGTATGTCCCAGCTGAGAGCTGGAAAACTGAAGAAAGTGGAGCCTTAAGAGAAGAGTAGTCTCGTGGTCAAAATGGCAACCCACCTCATCCTTGATATCTGAAATATCTGCATTGTTTTTCTAAAAACCATTCATTTAAAACTGGAGCCTACTCGAAAAATTACTGGAATTCCTAAATCTAGCTAACCAAGCCTGATGCTTTCTAGGACAAAAGCCGGGACAAATTGGTCTACAAGTACATAAGTTAAAACACTGGTCATATCAAGAAACGGTGGTTTGCTAAGAAACCACTGGACCACTCTTCTCTGCCCTGTGCCGTGCTCTCTCGTCTGGAGGCCGGAAGGGCGCCTGCAGCCTCTATCCTAGTAACACTCCCAGTTCCATTTCTATGACACAGGGTTTCCGGGGCTTTAAGGGTGAAAAGGGCGAGCCAGGTCAGCCTGGCCTGGATGGGCTGGATGCCCCGTGCCAATTGGTACAGTATCCTCTTTTCCTACCTCTCCGTGCATGCTGCCAGCTTTGCGCCCACATTGCTGAGCAACTCTCATGCATGCTTCTGGTGAAAAAGCTTTAATTTAACCTCCATGCATGACATAAATAGTGGAGCAGAGCTTAATGTAGGGTATCCCATTGCCTTTTAACACATGTACTGCATGTACTGTCTGCTTTCTATTGGTAAAGTCACAAGGCATTTTAACATAAGTTTCCCATCTGTATCTTAGCATCAATAGTAGTCATTTATTCCCTTATAGTTTAATACACCCTTTTGCATGCAATATATACTATCCACTTAGTTGTGCATCCTGTGGCCACTTAAAACTGCATTAACTGCTCACTAGCACCTATATCAGCATTTTAGTGATTTTCTCACCTTCTGGAATAGCATTTAATCTTATTCTAGTTTTCCTAAGTGAAAAAAATAAATACTTTCTGCTTATTGAATAGTATTTGCTCTCCTAAGATGAAATAACCAGTACTAATTAACCTTGGATCCCTTAAATAATCCATCTTGTGTCAAACCACTCCCGAGACGTTACTTAGTGCAGTGTCAGCATGAGTCGCTCTTCCCCAGCCTTTAACCCTCTTCTGTTCCCTCTCATATATCTGTTCCAATTGGGCACTCAATCCTATGGAAGAGAAGAAATTGAGTCTTCAAGCCATATCCTGAATCACCATGTTTAAAGACTTCAGTTAACTATACATTTGACTGTGTCATTTTGCATATATGAATGAACGTTTGTTATTAAGCTAGAGCATTAGGGCATGTATGTTTTAAAGTATATATGCAATATAAAAGTCCTACTTCATTTTAGTAAAATTGTGAATGATAATTTGCTTGAATATTTAAGCTTGAGTTTTTCTTGTGCTTTTTACAATGTTTACGAGTTTGTAGTGTGTCCAATTGTTAATTACTGTATTTTTGAATCAGCTAACATGCTTCTCATTACCATGTCTGGTTTGTTTCAACATAAATTAATCTATTAAAACTTTTTGTTTCTTTGTTTTTTATTATTGTATAATATTGTCTTTGCGTGCACCTTTGGCACCATCACAGTCTCACAATTACATTAGTTACATCATAGCACATCATTATGGTTAGCCACTTTGGGGTTTCAGCATGGTTAAACAATACCTCGAAAGCCTTGTTAACTTTCAAATATTGATATATAAATATAATATTTATATATTATTAATATATAATATTCCCTGTTTCTTTTTTCTCCACTATAGGGACCAGATGGACTCCCAATGCCTGGATGTTGGCAGAAGGTAAGTTTAAGAAGATCCTCAAAAATCCTATAGATATTCTTTAAAGTGTGATTACATGTTAGGTATCAATTCCACAGCTTTGTCAACAACATTAAAAGTTTTATTCATATATGCAGTGGTGGCCAAAATTATTAGAACACCTGACAGATCTGAAAATATTGACCTTTTTTGCCTCCAAAACATGATTTCATTTCATAATGTTCATGAAACATGCAGATGTTTGCTCTGAGCACAACAAATATCAGGTGAAGTGAGTCATACTGTTTTTATCCACTTTTAACTTTAATATTTGGTATGTCCACCTTTTGCAGCAATTACAGGAGCACATCTCTCTGGCATAGTGTCAATATATTTCCTGAGAACTTCAACACTAATGTTATCCCATGCCTTCTGCATCTCAAGCCAAAGGCTTTCCTTTGAATGTACAATAGATCTGTCCACTTTATTGTCCAACTCGTCACAAATGTGCTCGATGGGGTTGAGGTCCAGACTTTGAGGGGGCCAGTCTGTCATTTTTAATGTTCCAGCAGATTCCTTCCATCGCAGGTAGTTCCGGCAATAGTAGAAGAATGTAGGGTCATTGTCCTCATGGAAAATAAATCCTGGCCCAATAAGATGACTCCCAAATGGTACTCCGTGCCTCACCAGAATGTTGTGGTATACTTTCTTATCCATGATTCCATCAATTTTCACTAAGTCACCTGTTCCTGAGACTGAAATGACACCCCACACCATAATACTACCCCCTCTGTGTTTAATTGTTGACAAGAGAAATTCATTTTTATATCTGTTCCCCTCCCCCCGTCGAACATACACCCTTCGCTTGTTGCCAAACTGTTCAAACTTGGACTCATCAGTCCACAGCACTTTTTTCTACCTCTCCCCTTCCTGTTCTGGTGTGAATTGGCATCAAAGCAGTCTAAAGTGTACTTTACAGTGCTTGGACTGCATCTCACGTCCTTGGATATGCAGTGGTAACTCCAGCCAGCATCAAAAAGGGCCTTTATTCGAACCTGTGGCTCACTCGTTAGCTCCTTCTTCACCTTAGCCATGTTCAAAGATAAACATGTGCTTCAAGACTACTTCTAGAGGCTTTGAATTTATACCAGTTGGTGGTGTGGCCTCAGTGACAAAACCCTGATGTTACCAATCACTTAATGAGCAGGATAGGCCTTGTACATTCAAAAGAATCACACAGCTGTGTCCTAAGAATCTTGCATCACCATTTAACCATGATCACACCTAACAATGACTACACAAGTAATTTGGCTTCTTCTGTGAAGGAACATGATTGTGTGACACTGACAGTGAAATAGGCCTAGCTTGTTTTTTTTGTAAGGAAAATGAGCTAAATATCCTTATAATGGCTCTATTCTATGGTTTATAGAGCATAATGATGACTTTGTAGATATTTTATTTGTTTTATGGGTTATTATAATTGCTACTTCAACAAAAACAACTGAAACCTTTTAAATATGCCATGTGTTCTATTAATTTGGGCCACCACTGTAAGCAATTGAGTGGTATTAGAGTGGAATAGCTCACATCCTTTGGCCTTTGAAACTCTCCCTTTTTATATTAAAACATACGTGTCTTTGTGTTTTCTTTGCAGTGATCGGTCTAACACAAAACGCATGGAGTTTGTAAATAAGGCTTCACTTTTTTTGTAAATACTTTTTTTTTAATTCCGGGAAAAGAACGTCATGAAGCTTTCACGTAGCTGTTCCTGTCATTTCAGTGTGTGCTCATGGCAACGTGTGTTACATTCACATCAGCACTGTGGAATTTAAAGTCTTGACCAGTAAGAGACTATTCACAAGGGCGTGTTTGCCCTGATTTGCATGGCCCAGAATGAGAGTGGATACCAAAACAGACTAACGGGGTTAACTGAAAAGAAGAAGGAGGAGGCGACTGAGGGATCGGCTTTGGGTCTTGAACAAGATCTTTGTGTGTTTAGTGTGTTCACACCAATCCATACTATCAGCTTAAAAGACTAAAGACTCCATCCACATACCCCGGAACAAGCATGTACATATCACTTTGTAGTGTGGTCAAAGTATATGGCTTCTGCAAATCACTAACAACCTGTCAGTCTTTGTCGATTCAAAACAAAAATGTGTTACTCTAAAAGGGGTTAATGTTTCTTTTTTTTTCACTTTGTGAAGGGTGTCACGCCTTGGCTGGTGGCTTGAGAAAGTAAGAATTGTGATTGATTGCTGGATTTCTTTATTGCAAAGAGGTCAGTGTGGCAACTGGCCCTCCTGCGCCTCGGTGTTGCTGTTGTGTAACTCTCACCTTGTAATAAGAGTGACAACTTAAAGACTCAAATTATGGAAATAGCAGGACACAAGATGCATCCACCATCTGTGGCCGCTCGAGAGTAAGCAGGCAACTGAAACTCAGAAATCTTTATTATTGGATGGTGTACGTGATGCATGGAAAGTTGCTACATTCATCCCTCCATCTGCAAACCTTTTTTTGTTCACTCTTTAGTGGGGTTCTTTTTGTAGCAGTGAGCTACACAGTCTGATCTACAGCAGGATGCCATCTTTTTCATTATGACTTTTTGCTTAATTTTTTTTATTTGCTCATTTTGTGTATTATAGCCTTTGTGCCTAAAGTCATTTGTTATTCATTCTTTTGTTGGAAATAGTTACTTCTTCTCTATGCTATGAGTTGTAAATATGACATTTTAGTGCATTCTTTTGCAGCTATATTAAGGTTAAAATGCTGTTTATGTATTGTTGGAGCTGAAAGTTTTACATTCTTAAAGACTTTCGTAGGGTGTCAAAGGAAAATCTGACAAATGGGACATACTGTGTTTTTTTGTGGTATTGCTATTCTGAGTAACCATAACAACAGCATTCTAAAGCAATCAATATTAATAGCATCAAATACAGTGTTAATGTACAGTACAAGGCGCAAACATACAGCAGTCATCGAGAGCCTTAATCCTAAATCAGCAGTGATTATCATCAGCCCACACTGCTACATTCCAGAGTGCAAAATTGCATAATTTTGTTAATTTATTTTTTACAGCTTTAAAACCATTTTGACCATTACTTTGAACTTTCGTAACAGGCTTCAGACACAGTAGATACATTAAAACATATACAGTATGATCACAGCACTGCTGGTGTTATAATGTGTTTTCTGGCTGGAGGTGGCAGGATTATGGTCCTGATTTTCTCAACCTCTAATGGGCATTTAAGATCATAAGAACAATGCAGACATAGTTATACTGAAAGTAGTTTTGTATGTACTGAATTTAATAGGTATTCATAAGGATGGGTAAGTGATTTCTTTCTTAGTGGTTTCTTTTCTTTTTACCCTTACCTGCTACTTTATATATATAGCAACATGTTTTATTCTTAAAATAAGTTAAGTTAACAAACTGGTTTATTAACAGGCATTCCTCATAATATGAAAGTGGAAAGACCTTTCTCCATAAGGTGTTGTACTTCATGCTCAGACATATGATTATGTGATGATTATAGTAGGGTTTTTTTTTTAAACATAAGTTTCCCAACTGTATTTTAGTTGTATCTTAACTTAACTGTATCTTGTATTTTTTGTTTTGTTTTTGTTTTTGCACCAACAGTTCATTAAATATATCACTAAACATCAATTTAGTGAAATATTGACTGGAAATTTGAAGGAGATCTTTCTCTCCATCTCTTTTTTTCATTAAATGTAGATTAATATGTCTATAGAGGAATATGGGTGTGCAGTTTTTTTTTTTTTTTTGTATTGATGTAATGTGCACCGAGTACACAAATTAATCTTGATATCTGTTACTCAGCCATTTTGTAATTTGTAAGAATCCCTTTTATGGTGGCACTGGGGATATACTTGTTTTAACAGTACAGAATACCGTTACAAACAAACAGTAATGGCTAAGCTAGTTTTTTTTTATATTTGTTTTTAAACTGATAAGTGTCACTGTTAATGTGCATGCATATGTCACATCATTTCCTTTCCTTCCTTTTAAAGCCATTTGTAGGCATTTTCATAAATATTTAATGTGTGTCCATTTATTGTTACTACTACACAAAATGTCACAAAACCGTTCTTTACAAGAGGTTTGGCTTGTTTGTATAGAAGACATGGGAGATACATTTGTCTTTCAGCTTTTGTTAATTTGTTTATCTTTAGTGCAGTTTTGAATGAAACATTTCCTTGTTTTGTTTTCATTTTCTTTGCCAAAATGTGTTTATTGCAAAAAAAAAATCCATTGCTTTATTTTCTCAATCCTTGTCATTTATGTCAATTTATAATTTTGGTGTCTATAAATGTGTGTTTATACAGTATTTCAACTGTTTATTTGATTTACCTTGTACATAATTTGGTAGCCCACGATTATCAAATTATTAGCTAATGTCATTTTAGCCTAAATAATTTTTGTTGCTCAATTCTTCACTTTCTTAATTTCTTTCATTTTCATTTTATTGTTGTTGTAGTTTTGCCTTGTTAACGACTAGGAATTTAAATTTGTTCATTGTTGTAATGGCTCTAGACACTTCGTTTTAAACCCATGCTGTGTGATATTCTGTTGGAGCCAAATAAATTCTGTTTCTCCATGTGTCTTTATTAATCTACATTCACGGTGCAGCGAACAGTCCACTCTTGCAATAGTAACTGAAATGACATTGACGTTATCTTAAAG